CTCTGGAGGGTGTGTGTGAGCCAGACTTGGGGACAGCTCTTCTGGAAGCTGTATGCCAAGGTGGGGAACAGCTGACTTGTCTTCGGCCTGTTGTTTCCTAGTCACGGCACTGGGTGTGTTCATGCTTAGATGCCCAAGTTGATTTTTGGCCCAGATCTTTGGTGTGCAACTGGGAATGGCACATAGTATTCGTCTGGGGCGGGGTGGAGGGAAAGATTCTGAGGCCTCGTCGAGCCCTGCAGGGAGGGATACTGTGACTAGAGATGTCTGGAGTGGGGTGGAGGCAGGACACCCCTGATTTAGACCCTTGTCTAACGTGAAGCTGTAAAGAGGCACGAAATGGGCACACTGCTCTCCTCTTCCCCTTTCTAGCGAATGAAAATAACGACGATTCAAATTGCTTAGGTAAAAGAAGGAACGTTCTAGAAGGTGGCCCATGACTCCAGTAACTGGGGAAGAGGCAGGGGAGTGTGGAGGGAGCCCCTCTTTCTGCCTCTTCCACTCTCTGTCCACTCTCAGTCCAGAGTGGCTTCCTCTCGGGGTGGGGGTAAGGCTGTACCCCTTCCGAGCCTCCTACCTCAGCTGCCACCACCAGAGGAGCTCTTCCCAAAGTTCAGGTTCAAAGTCCCCGGGAAAGGTTCTGTGGGGGAACGCTGGCCTGCAGGTCTGGCACATAGAACAGGGGTGAGGGCTGGGGTTTGCCTCTGTGCACCTCACACCTCCTGTCAGAAGGCCTCTGTGGCGGGCCAAGCAGCCATCCCAGAGTGCGTTCACGTCGGTTCATTGGCCGAGAGCAGCTTGCCCATTTCGTGCCTCTTTACAGCTTCACGTTAGACAAGGATTTATTAAGGCCCGTAAGCAAGTGTGGACACCTTCTTTTCAAAGGAACAATCACAGCAGAGAAGGAGAAAGTTGGGGGCCATTTTCAGATGTTGCAGTGCTGACCCCCTCTCTCCCCTCATCCAAGGCCTCAAATCTCCGATTTTCTCAGCTATAGCTATTTAACTGACTGGTAATTTCCGGGATCCCCTGTGGAAACAGGCAAATACTAGGGCTGTGTTTTCTACCAAATATTTTCTCTTTGCTGGGTAAACAAAGCAAAGGTTCTGTAAATGTTGCAGGGATTACACTCAAATAACCTATGGAGGTTGTCACGGCCGGTACCGTTAACCGAAACCTCCACAGACCAGGGGCAAGACCCGTGTTCTGGCCCTGGCTCTTTCGCCCCCCGCAACAGGTGGTGTGGACCGGGCTGCCGGGGTCCAGGAGAGAAGCCCAGGTTTGAACTCTGGTGCTCACTACATTGCGACTGTGGTCAGGCCCCCAAATCTTTGAGCCTTGGTTTCCTTGCTCTGGAAACTAGCCTAATAGTGTCACTTTATTAAGTCCTTTTTATTTATATGATTCTGTGAGCATATTCAGTGAGGGTGTCATACTCGTTTGCTAGGGCTGTGATAACAAATTACCACAAAGTGGGTGACTGAAGTCAACAGAAGTTTATTCTATCATAGTTTGGGAATGTTCTTCCCATTCCCAGACCTACTCCCCAAAGATAGCCACTCTTGTTCGCTTCTTAAGGCCTTCCAGAACTTCTCCCAGTAGATCGAGTGTACACACATACACAAATATGGCCCTAAGCTTTCCAAGTTGCTCTACAAATTGTTCTCCAGTTTGCTTTATTCACGTCATCGCGCATCTTGACATGGCTTCCTCTTACTTAGATCAGCCTCATAGTTTAAAAAAATTTTTTTTAAATTAAAAAAAATTTTTTTTGTAACGTTTATTTATTTTTGAGACAGAGAGAGACAGAGCATGAACGGGGGCAGGGCAGAGAGAGAGGGAGACACAGAATCGGAAGCAGGCTCCAGGCTCTGAGTCGTCAGCCCAGAGCCCGATGCGGGGCTGGAACTCACGGACTGCGAGATCGTGACCTGAGCTGAAGTCGGACGCTTAACCGACTGAGCCACCCAGGCGCCCCTAAAAAAATTTTTTTTAAGAGAGAGACAGAGACACAGAGAGACAGACAGAGCATGAGCAGGAGAGGAGGGGCAGACAGAGAGGGAGACACAGAATCCAAAGCAGGTTCCAGGCTCTGAGCCGTCAGCACAGAGCGCGACATGGGGCTCAAACTCACAGACCGTGAGATCATGACCTGAGCCGAAGTCAGACGCTCAACCGACTGAGCCACCCAGACGCCCCTCGTTCTTTCTTTTTAAACACTTTTGTAAGACTTTGTGGTGGGGAGCTGCACTGTGATTTATTAAACCAGTCTCCTGTCAATGGGCATTAATGCTGGTCCCAGTCTTTTCTAATTACAAACAGTTTGACAAGTGAATAATCTTGTACATGTTCCATTTCCAGTGTGTGCAATCAGTCTGTAAGATTGATTTCCGGAAGTGGAATCGCCAGCTCAAAGGCCGTATGGATGTATCACTTGGTTCAGTATTCCCAAATTTCCTCCTAGAGCAGCTGAAGATGATCTAGAATGTGTCCCTACATTTTCTCTTACTGCTTTTATGGTTTCTTTTCCTCAATTCCTTAAATGAGCTATTTGCATGTAATAAAAGGCACAGATTTTGAGTGCACTATTCAATGAGCTTTCGCAAGTATATATACCTGTGTGGCCACCAGTCCATCGAAATCTAGAACATTTCCATTCCCCGCAAAAGTGCCCCTCCCTCCTTAGGCAACCACTGTTCTGATTTCTGAGATTTGCTGGTTCCAGAACGTCATCCACGTGGGATCACACAGTGTATCCTCTTTTGAGTCTGGCTTCTTTTGTTCATCATATTTTTGAGGTTCTTTGTGTTGCTGTGCATTTTATCATATGATTTGTATTGGTTTTCTATTGCCCCCGTACCAAATGCCACAGACTTAGTGGCCACATAAGTGAGTTGTGTCACAGTCTATGGGTCCAAAGTCTGGGTCAGTTTGGCTGAGGTCAGGGTGTTGGCTGGCTGGGCTCTTACAGGAAGGTCTGCAGAGAAGCGCCTTCTAGGCTCATTCACGCTGCAGGCAGGATCAGTTCTTGCAGCTGTAGTGTTGAGGGCCCTGTGTCCTCACTGACTGTCACCCAGGGGCCTCTGTCAGGTTCCAGGGCCACCTACCTTCCCCTTGACGTTGCCTTCTCTCCACCAGCAAGGCAGTCAGTGATGGGGCCGGGCTTTCCCTAGTTGCATGTCACGTGCCACATCTCTCCCGCCTTCTTCCCTGGCATCTTCCTGACTCCAGCCAGAGAGGTTTTCTGCTTCTGATTAGGCTGGGCTCACCCAGATCGTCCAGGATGATATCCTTGTCTAAAGGCCTATAATCTTAACTACATATACAAAGTCCCTTTTGCATTCACGGGTTCTGGGGATTGGGGCACGGGCAGATTTGGCGGGGGTGTGTGTGTCCATTGTTTAGCCTAGCACACGCTATGAGTTAGAAATTTAACTTCTTTTCCAGATGGTCAGCCAGTTGTACCAAAGTGATTCATTCTTTTCCTATCTATTAAAAATGCGTCCCTATCACACATGGAGTTCTTTGATAGTAGTATATATTTGTTTCTGGATTTTCTATTTTGTCCCACCCATCTGCCTACTCCCATGTTAGCATCATCCTTTAAAAATCAGATAAGTTTTGTAAATATATTTTAAAATGTTAGAGATTTTCTCTTGATCCTTTTTTCTCTTTTTCCTGTAGAATATATTTCTACTTGGCACATCCCTGACGGTCACACGTGATCCATTGTCAGGCTTCTGTGTGTTTCCCCAAATTGGCTACTTTATACCGTTCGATTCAGTGCCATCAGAATGGATCCTCAGGGGCGAGGCTGTGTGTGTGTGTGTGTGTGTGTGTGTGTGTGTGTGTGTGTGTCTGAAAGATAATTCAACGTTATATCCGTTTGTGTTGGAAACCAGAGCTTTCTATATTTCTTTAAATTTTTTTTTTAATGTTTATTTTTGAGAGAGACAGAGAGCAAGTGGGGGAGGGGTAGAGAGAGAGGGAGACACAGAATCTGAAGCAGGCTCTAGGCTCTGAGCATTCAGCACAGAGCCTGACGCGGGGCCTGAACACACAGACCGTGAGCTCATGACCTAAGCTGAAGTTGGACGCATAACCGACTGAGCCATCCAGGGACCCCTAGATCTCCTATTTCTGTAACGCAACGCAAGGTTAATTTTGACTCAAAGCTTTGGAGTTGACTCTTCCTGCCCTTTAGTCCCATGGAGAGTGTCGGCCTCCCGAATGGGCCTTACACTGGTTCATTTCTCTCCATCTTGCCTGCAGCCAGCATGATGGAGTTAGTTTTTGTTAATCCCCAGCTCAAAAGCCTCTGGTGCTGTACTGTCCAGTGTGGTAGCCATGGGTCACAGGTGGCTGTGTAAATTAAGGTTAGTGAAGCTGAAACAAAAAATTCAGTTCTTCTGTACCAGCCATATTTCAAATGCATAATAGCCACATGTGGCTGGTGGCCACTGTCTTAGTACAAAACAGAACATTCCCATCATCATAGAAAGTTGGAGTGGACAGGGCTGCTTTCTCAATCGTATTTAAGATGAATTCTGGTATTCTCGGTTGGCCTTCATGATCCCAGATTATTTATCTCTTACAGCAATTACCAATTACTTCCCAGCCTCACTTCTGTCCCCACCCCCTGGCAGTTCTTGAACGATGAAGCTCAGGGCCTTTGCATATACTGTTCCCCTGGCGCTATTCTTCACTGGGCCAACTACTCACTTTTGGGGCTTGGCTTACATGTCACTTGCCCTCCCCATTCTATTTTTTTTTTTTTAATTTTTTTTTTCAACGTTTATTTATTTTTTTGGGACAGAGAGAGATAGAGCATGAATGGGGGAGGGGCAGAGAGAGAGGGAGACACAGAATCGGAAACAGGCTCCAGGCTCTGAGCCATCAGCCCAGAGCCTGACGCGGGGCTCGAACTCACGGACCGTGAGATCGTGACCTGGCTGAAGTCGGACGCTTAACCGACTGCGCCACCCAGGCGCCCCGCCCTCCCCATTCTAAAGTTATATTCTCATTTTATAAGCTTTCTTTTACCCTCTACTTTTCTGTTTCAGAAGAACAATCCGTTAGCTATAATATTTGTGTGGTTATTTATTTTATGTCCATCTCTCTAACAGACAATAAACTTCTTGCAGGTGAAATAGTGGTTGCCCTTTCACCACGAAACCCCCGATGCCCAGGACAGTGCCTCACCCAGGTTAATTCCATGTAAATATTAACATTGGATTAATCTAAAGTTCTAGATCCTCTTGAGAGGCACGAATATGTTGGGTGAGTAAGTGAAAATTTCATTAAAAGAGGCATAGCTTTAAAAGCAGTCAAGAGACCCCACATATTAGGGAGATTGTTATTTATTTACGTTTAGGATGTAAATTTCACAAGGGTGGTTTGGAGCTGAATTAGTCCATTGGTTTTCGAATCACCATCCTGACTTTGGTGAACACGTAGTTGGGGGTAATTGAGGCTATAAATTAAGGTGGAAGTCATTTAAAGTTGTTGGATAAAGGGGATTGGCTGGATTAGGACAGCCCTGGGGTTTATGGCAGGCCACTGAGCTGGGCTTTGGTGGGTTGGTGCAGGCTGGTGAGACGTCTGCGGGGTGGACACGGTGATCTGGTCTTTCTTGTTCTAATTAAACACCCAGGTAGAAAAAGCTTGGGTCCAGCACCTCATACTTTTCCACAGGCCTTTTGAAAAAAATTTGGGTGAGTTTCTCCAGAAAACCTCTACTCTTCCCCATCAGCATTTACAAGCCTTCCCCCGGGGGGAGGAGGGGGGGAAAGAAAAGAAAAGAGAAGAAAAGAAAAAAGAAAGAAGGGCAAAGAAAACAAACTGGAATCTCCAGAATGAGTTCTGACTTTGGATTTCTATCCCAGACTGCCTGTGGCCACCTTCTCTCCTGTGGGGAGTAGGAAGGAGTCAGTTTTAAGAACTGTTCCCCCTGGCCTTGGTTCAGAACTGTCTATCCCCAGCATTCCAGGGTTCGTCTTAAATCATTGACTGTCTTTGCAGGGTTTTTTGAAAGGATTTTCATAAAAAAGAAAAAAAAAAAAAACCCAAGAACACGAAAAGTGAATTTGCTATCAAGATTTCTAGTGCTCAGATGACGTATGAAGGTAAAGCCTCCCTGTGCCCATTTTAGTGGCCCCACGCCCAACCCTGTCTGAAGTTTTTGCTCTATTCCTATAAGTCAGTTACAGGGTTTCATGTGTATATAGACAACAAGTAATAAAAGCTACAACAACCTGGATCTGCTTTGTTTCAGACTTGCTGGTTTAAAAAAATCTGCCGAGGGCACTTGTATTTTTCTTATTTCTACTTCCTAGGGTGTAGCCAGGCAGCTCATGACACCTCCCCACAACTGGACCTTGAATCCTGATGGGGACACAGTGAAAATGACTGCCAGCCAGCACCACAGCTGTGAGACTATCTACTTTGGGCTTTCATCACACCAAAAAAAAAACCCTGGAAGTGAGGGCTCGGTGCCAGCCAAATCATCACATGCCTTGGGGATTGACTGGGTGCTGACCTTTGAGCCCCTGTCCTGGCCTTTCAGACTGTAGTTCAAGGTCACATCACCTAGGCACTGTAGGCACTGTAGTGCCACGACTTTCTGTGTCACTGTGGCAAGTAGCTTAACTTCTCTCTGCTGCAGTGTCCCTGTGTGTCAAATGGGGATGCAGTCATGACTCCCTCGTGGGTTTTCTTGTAAGAATGAAATGGCGTGATTGATGTCAGGCACATAGTAGGCACTTGGTACGTATTAGCCATCAACTATATGTCATTACCATTTGTACTTAACAATTTATTCTATAAACAGACTGCCCGGTTGCTCAGACTCAACCACCAAGCCCTCTGTGTTCTAAGGAAGAGATATAAAGCACTCTTCCCTATCATGAGACCGTGGCTGCTAACAAATCCTAATAAGAAGCCAAAAGCCGGGGCGGGGAGCCTGGGTGGCTCTGCCGGTCAAGCATCTGACTCTCAGTTTCAGCTCAGGTCATGATCTCGCTCTTTCCTGAGTTCGAGCCCTGCCTTGGGCTCTGCGCTGACCGTGCGGAGCCTGCTTGGGATTCTGTCTCTCTCTCCTGCTCTCTCTGCCCCTCCCCCACTCACGCTGTCTCTATCTGTCTCAAAATAAATAAATAAAAACTTAAAAAAAAAAAGAGGCAAAAAGCCTTCTGTGTGGCTGGCAATCCCCCTATTTCCTGTGACGTCATTTTACCGAGAAAAAGCAGAAACAAGAGAAGGAATACATTTGATGTTTGCTCACCTAACATTAAAAGCTCACTGTTGGTGGAAGCAACCCGAAAATTCTGACATGAATTGTTTTTATTGTATTTGTAAATAAAGTGGAAATGTTTTGTGTTTGAATTCTTCAATTAAGCCCTTAAAGAGTCTCATTTTAATAATATTTATATTCTGATTATTAATGTACATTGTAGAGCAGCTGGGAATTCAGAAAAGTACAAGAAGGAAAATTAAAACCCTGCCTAATCTCAATGGTGTTTCATTTTGGCATATTTTCAATATATTATATGTGTTAAAAATTCAATTTGGGATTATACACCTATTTATGTAGACTGTACTTTTCATTTACTAACATAGCCAATCATTAAATGTTCTTTTACAACATGATTTTTTAATTAATCGTGTGGTATTCTCCCATATAGATATATTTTTTTAAATTTTTTTAATGTTTATTTATTTTTGAGAGAGACAGAGACAGAATGCAAGTGGGTTAGGGGCAGAGAGAGAGGGAGACACAGAATCCGAAGCAGGCTCCAGGCTCCGAGCTGTCAGCACAGAGCCTGACGTGGGGCCCAAACTCACAAACTGTCAGATCGTGACCTGAGCGGAAGTCAGAAGCTCAACCAACTGAGCCACCCAGGTGCCCCCCCCCCCCATATGGGTATTCTATAACCGATTCAAATCCATTACGAGTCATAGGACATTTAGGGTTATTTCCACATTTCACTGTGGCAAACATCTGTAAGACTGAATCTGTCCGTGATGTAGTACATTTCCCCTCTAAGCAGTATATGACAGCCCCTGACATTTGGGGTCATTCTTTTAATTCTTTAAGTATTTCCCCATGATACCTTGTTGCTGTAATTCTTCATTTCTTTGCTCTCTAGTGAGAGTGATCTTTTTTGTTCACTCTCCATATATTTAGAAATTACTTGTATTCCTCTGTGAATCATGGGCTTACAGCCTTACACATTTTGGACAAATTTGTGGCCTTTTCTTGCAGTGGAGAAGTATTTTTTAAAGTTTTTATTTATTTCGAGAGAGACAGAGAGAGAAAGAAAGAGCTAGCAGTGGAGGGGCAGAGAGAGAGAATGCCAAGCTGGCTCTGTGCTCATGTCGGAGCATGACGTGGGGCTCGATCTCACAACTGTGAGCTCATGACCTGAGCCGAAATCGGGAGTTGGACGCTTAACTGACTGAGGCACTCGGGTGCCCCGGGGAGTTATTTCTAAAAGAGGCATATTGGGACACCTGGCTGGCTTAGTCAGTAGAACATGCAACTCTTGATCTTGGGGTTATGGGTTCAAGCTCCTCTCTACTACCTTTGCTCAGCAAACATTCCTGGGGTCCACGGACAGGTGAGGCTCTGGACGCTTGTCTCCGACTACACATCAGAGAGAATCAGTAACAGGCAACCTTCTGGGTTGCCTGGGTTTGGCATTCCTTCTGGGTTTGGCATTCCAATCTGTTACACCATGAGTATTTAAATGGCCCTCATATGCTAGTCTGTAGGGCTACAAAGACGAGTAAGACAGAAGTTATGACTTGGAAGAAGTAATCTCGGGGACAAATACTCTGGGGATTATATTAGAGTGTTTGAGAAAGGGGAGAGGGCGGAAGAGGCAGTGGCTGTGGCCCTGTGTCCCAACCCCTCGTATATGGAGGCCTCTAGACCTTTCCCCCCCTTCCAAGAGGATGGGAGGGCTATCCACTGAGTTTTGCTGCTGCCAATAGTCGATGCGGTGCAGTGGTCAGGAGCAGAAACTTGGCCATCAGGTCGGAACCGGGGGCAGGTGACTTGAACCTCCAGGAGCCTCAGTTTCCGCCTCTGCACAGCGGGGACGGTGCCTCCTTTCGGGGCTGGGGCCGTGGTGGGTGGGTAAACAAGAAGGTAACAACAGTGCCAGTTTCGGGAACAGCCGCCGCTTCTCAGGCACACACGACCTGCCAGGTGTCAGTGGGGGGGGGGGGGGGGGGGGGGGGGGGGGGGGGGGGGGGG